GCCCAGGCTGGCCTCGAACTCACAGAGATCCGCCTGGCTCTGCCTCCCGAGTGCTGGGATTAAAGGCGTGCGCCACCACCGCCCGGCTGACTCTGCGTTTCTTTTTGATACTGGGGTGCCGATGGCTGCTTCGGGATTGGGGGCAGTGGCTTCCTGGTGACTTCAGGAGCTGCAAAAGGTGGCTCCTTCTGCAAGGAAGCAAAGAAGTCAGGTGGGACCCATAGTCACAGGAGGACTGGAAGATGTCAGGTTACACTCTTCCAAGACCCAGAGAGGGCCAGGCGGTGGTGGCGCAAGCCTTTAATGCCAGCACTCTGGAGGCAGAGCCAGGCAGATCTCTGTGAGTTCGAGGCCAGTCTGGGCTACAGAGCGAGGTCCAGGACAACTAGAGTTACATAAGAGAGAGACCTTATGTGAGAAGAAAGTGGAGCAGAGAAGGGGATACACCCAGCTCAGGGTCCAACAGAGAATCACAGCGGAAGAGCAGCTGGGGCCCCCAACTCACTGCTACTCCATATCGTGCTCTCTCTCTCTCTCTCTCTCTCTCTCTCTCTCTCTCTCTCTCTCTCTCTCTTCCCCCCCCCCCTGCATCCAGTGCCTGGCAGCAGCACTTCACTGCAATCCACCCCAAGGCCTCCTGGGAAGAGCAACACAACACCTAGGGTCCTTGACTGGACACAGATCCCAGCAAGGCCTTGGGTCCTGATCTCCCCGTCCCTGGACCTGCAATGCAGCGAGGAGAGGTTTATTTAGACTGAGTCACCTCTCAGCCTGGATGATCATAAAATCCTCTGGCTGCATCCCCTGCTCCTCCCCATTTTCTTTAACTGGATGCAGCAGGTCCAACCTACCTCATAGGACTGCTCTGGAGAGAAAGGGGACAGCATCTGGGGGGAATGAGTTGTGAAGAACTCATAGAGGCTGAGGGCAGCAAAGAACTACCTAGAATCCCCCAGTGAGGGGCTGGGGTGTGGCTCAGTGGTAGAGCCCCTGCCTGGAGTCCCCCAGTGAGGGGCTGGGGTGTGGCTCAGTGGTAGAGCCCCTGCCTAGAATCCCC